TTGTGAATCAAGAGGGGAACTGAAGAGGATATATTAGAATGTTTGAAATCTCAAGATGGCAATATTTACGATCAAAAATATGCTTTCAGGAAACTAAAATTCGACAGCACCAAGAGATTAGTAGTTAATTACGAAAATAACAGGTTTTTATTCTTACTCCTGAGGACTAAGAACGACAGAGGTTACGTAAAAAATATAATAACCACACTCGATCAGAAGAGGACCTGGTCAATATTTAAAAATGAAAGCTAATAAAATGTCAAGCACAGGTAGGTGAATTTCGGTTTCTCGCATTTGATCTTACATCATGATATGACAGTAAACGTATCAATTGGTAACAGTGAGACTGACTAACAAAATTGACTTTCGAAATTGCATAGTATATTTAAATGTTCATTTTTTATTTTCGTTCTGTAAAAACCCCATTTCGCCTGTAAACTTATCCAAAACTAAACAGGAAAAATTAAACTGAGGCGATATTCTTGATATAAATTTGGTGCAAATTAAGATGAAATGCGCCAAAATGTTTACTTTGTCACCTGCAGTAGGGGAACAGTATGAATTCTCTTTAGTTTATTCTTGGGCGAGAAACGTCTCAGAATTTTCAGCAAATAGTTTACATTCCTGCTAAACAAGTACTCGCAAGACCATCTACTGCTAGCCCTTGTTCCTTCAAGGAGACAGACTTTTCTACACAGTCGATCGAACTTAGAGATATGGTATGTGTTTTAAAAGACGTATATTTACGAAAGTCGTAATCACAATCCACAAGATACAGATCTATAAATATCACCTTTAGAAAACCATACATCATATGAATAACTGATTAGCACATAAATATGCCTACGTTACTAGAAGGGAATGTTTCAGTGGGGTCATAGGAAGACCTAGACCCGGCGCTTTCACCGGGTTGGTCGATATGGAGCATTCAACTGGTGGAGTTGGAAAACCTTGATTCCAAACCAGTGGTGCACATAGGCCTCAGGATCCTGAGGGAATAAAAGGCGTATGGACCAATTATCGGCCACCGACCACCATGGGACTGCATCTCATGATGTCGCTCCACTGTCTTGTGGATCTGACATTTAGGTCGAAAAATTCGAGTGTGGTCCCCTAAGAAAACCACCTGCTTCCGTCTGGGCACCCGGTCAGTATCACAGCCCATACACAAACCAAGTGACTTGTGTTGAGCATATGTATATGGTGCCCCATTGTACCAATATTTATGTGTTCAAATAAATAAATAAAAACAGCGTTACGCAGGGATTTTTTCTGTAACAGGCTGCAAGATAGAGATATCATGGCTACGAAACAAACCACGGTCAACCATGATTCTAAGAAACATGTTATTATGTGCATATCGATCAAGCTGACAGCACAGTAATAGTGCAAGGCAAGCCTGGACTGATTACTGATATGGGCAATAACAGATTAATCAAGTCTAGGTCTTCCTATGACCCCAATGAATCCTCACTGAAACATTCCCTTCTAGTAACGTAGGCATATTTATGTGCTAATCAGTTATTCATATGATGTATGGTTTTCTAAAGGTGATATTTATAGATCTGTATCTTGTGGATTGTGATTACGACTTTCGTAAATATACGTCTTTTAAAACACATACCATATCTCTAAGTTCGATCGACTGTGTAGAAAAGTCTGTCTCCTTGAAGGAACAAGGGCTAGCAGTAGATGGTCTTGCGAGTACTTGTTTAGCAGGAATGTAAACTATTTGCTGAAAATTCTGAGACGTTTCTCGCCCAAGAATAAACTAAAGAGAATTCATACTGTTCCCCTACTGCAGGTGACAAAGTAAACATTTTGGCGCATTTCATCTTAATTTGCTTCAATGTTTCTTGGGTACTTCGTATGACATATCAAATGCCTGCTTGGATTTGGGCACTCGGGTAGTATCATAGTCCACACACATCATTTGACATGTGTTACGTATATGTATCCAATATCAAGTGCCCATTTGTATTAATATTTGTGTTCAAATATATAAATAAGTCTATCAAATGCAGTAGCAAGACACACCCGTTGATGTGTGGAAGTATATTCACCCCATATCGAGTAAAAATAAAATTGGATTTACTCTCGATACGTTGAAAACTAATCTATCTATGGACAAACGTAAGTCTTTATTATCAACAACGCAGTCAATTTTTACATTTTAACTATCATATAAGAAACCTGTAGAAGAATACACTCAAAATATCACACGATGGTAGTAGGCTTTTTAACAAATTTGTGGATGTAAGTTCCAAACGCTTACTGTGCGAAAAATTAAAGTCCATCGAATATAAGTAGATACAACGGAAGAACCCCTGTAATACCATGTACCGTCACCTCCAATTGGCCCGCATAAACCTTTGCCAAATTACTTAATTCCTTTGTCTTCAGTAACAAGGAAATGGGTCTAAACCAATCCCTGCAGTTTTTAAAACTATAGAAGTTTATTGTCTTTTTGAATATATCAACATAAGGTGCTGATATTACATGTTCTGGTAGGAGTTCCAGTAATTCACTACTCGGTGAGAGAAACGAAACTCCAGGTGTAGAAGATTTGATCTAAGTTTTTGATTTTCCTTCGGATTTCCTCTCAAATGATCAGTCCTAGACGGAAGGAAAAGACAAGACATATTCATACCAAGGTCATGGTCCAGTACACGATAAGCCAACATTAGATCACACCGTATAATACGATAAGATAACAGAAATAAGTTGAGGTGTCTCAGTCTGTCCTCATAAGATAAGCAAGACAGACCTTTAACCGTCTTAGTCTCTCGTAGTTGGCATCGTTCCATACTTGAAACAAGGACTCGCTACTTCAAATGTTTCAATTGGTTGTGGGCGGAATAGAAGAAACCGCTTAACGGGATTCCGCATCTAGCAGCAGTGAATCAATTCTACGACGTCTATAGTGTGATGAGTAAATGTTTAATGGGTGAAGGCCTTTTTCATAAGACTTGAATTTGATTCCCCCGACTGATTTCACGGCTCGTCGTCGGATGTGCTCCAGAGTGTCTTTATCCTTTTGGAATGAGGAGGGAAATACTATGTTTCCGTATTCTACATTGGGACGAATAAAATTGTTGAGGATTATGTAAAAACTTCTACCGTCAAACTGGCCAAAAATGCGCCTCAATGTTACCAGTGCAAGGTTTGCTCGAAATGTATTTTTGAAACCGTTAGCGTAAGACATCAAATAGTAGCGTACCAACTACTCATAATTCTTTTTCAACTCGCGGTACTTCTAGAGAAGAGTCCCTTAAGTTGTAACTGTAGTCTGCGACACGTCGCAGATGGACTAATTTACACCTCGAAGTGTTAAAATTAAGTCCGTTGTCGTCTGCTTAACTTTCAGTTCGAGTCAGATCCTCCTGAAGAGTGCTTGTATATCGTCTTGGTTGCGTATCTGTCTCCACTTTTTCAAATCATCTCAAAAAGCAATAAATCAGGCGATTCCTGTTGTGAAAGATATTTTATATGAATCAAGAGAAGGAGAAGTCATAGTACTGAACCCTGGGGGACCCTTCCTGGATAAATGACGTCAACCTTCCCTTTGCGATCAAGGATGGTTGTCCATCTGTCCACCGTAGTCAGTAGGGTGGTTGAACAAGAATGACCTATATCCAAAATGAGGTCTCACGAAAGTCGGGTATAATAATCTAAACGTTTCTTCATCCAAATACTGAAAAGACCTACGAATAGACCTTAGCCTTTTACAGCAGCAGCCTGACAGTTACTCATAGATTTGAAGTCTCTGCTTAGTATGACTCCAAAATGTTTATAGTTCCCTAACAACAGTCGGGTGCTTAAGGAGCCCCGTAAAAGCACGTACTACATTGACACATTCTTCACTGTTACCAGCGCAATCTTAATCTTTCTTTTTTTAGACCGAAACTAATAGTCTCATAGCCTCCTGGATCAGTGACGTCTTATTCGTACAGCGAAACACACAAGGCCATTGAGAGTTTGGCCTTGAGCATCTTTTTTATGCGGTTGGATGTAAACGGGTACACATTTCATGGAACCATTTTCACACTCACCACATCACATTCCTTCCTCCATGGGGAGTAAACAGTTTGGCTGTCCACATTTATAAGTACTGCCAAACATTGCTATTAGATTAAGAATGTTTAAAACACAATTTGATCACAATATGAATTTCAAGTGTCGGATATAATGAGAAAGAAGCTACTACAAGGCAAAGTTTGGCAAAATTTCAAACCCTAATCCAAATACTTCGAGTTAATTTAGACCAAGCACGCTTTTTGCTGCAAAAAGTACACATAAGCAAGAATAATCACAACACTAACTAAATCACTGCCCTATATGAAACGAGCGGTTATATGTGACGATTTTAAACGGAATAGAAAAGGCTTTCGCTCCCGCACCTAGTAGCAGTGTATCACCATTACCTCCATGCAGGAGCCTAGGTATATTAACGATAAAACAGGAAAAAGAAATTGGCAAATCACAGTAAGATACTATCCTTGGTCCTTAAGAATATATCAAGTTTTCTCTTGAAGGACTCCTGGGAGGTCGCTTGGGAAAGCTCAGCTGGCAGAGAATTCCAGCATTTGACTAATTTTAGGGAGTAGAATTTGTTTCTACAGTCTATTCTTCTGTGTGGCGTCTTCAGTTTCTGGGTATACCCCTAGGTTTGTGTTGGAGCTAAACTCAAGCAGTTGTCTAAGGGGATGTCCAGAAGTTTTAAGGACGCTGTAAGCCATTAGAATGTCACCTCTTAGACGTCTGTACCCTAAAAGGTAAAGGTTCAGTGACTGAACGGGATGTGGGAAAATATGATAATACTGTTGGTCAGGGACGCTTTTTCAGAGTCAAAAATTGCTTTTTATGTTTCTGTGTGTTTCTATCGTCTCATGAAACGGGCAAGAGAAGTAACTTTATATGTTACTTATGAAGCCTTCAATGTCTTGTGGATTCGAGTCTAGTTTTAAGGTAGGTTGCGTGCCGTAATTGCTTGATTACCAACGTGTTTGAGACAATGTGTGAATTAGAACAAGACTGGAGAAGAAAGCACGTAGAATAAGTTCGAATTTGGTAATGAATTAGTTCGCCACCTGGTTTTCAATAAAATATTACAAGGTTATGTATGTATTGGACTGGTTGGCCTTGAGTCACTTGCTTTAGTATCCAAGGTCACTTGGCTGTCAAGGTTTTCTTGTATTTTGGAATATGTAACTGTGCTTCTGTAGTTTGTTTGGCTTACTGATACTTCATTATATGTACATAATGCAGCCATTTGTTCATGTGTCTCCAGAAAAGTCCAGGTAGACTTAAGCCCTACTGGTTCTTATTTGTCTAGTGAGAGGAATCTTGTTACCAGTGTTATGGGTGCTCTAAGTGATTATATGCCCAGGAATCATTATCGTACGTGTGGCTCCACAGAACAGGTGTTTAGCGTGAAATTTGAGGAATGTGACGCAAGTAGTAAGTTTGATATGTCTCCCAAATTAAAGTTCTTAGGATGTAACCCCGCCTACTCTATTGTTTTATCTCTAGTCACTTGTAAAGGATCATACATATGGGGAATTTCGGTAATTTTCTTCTTTAATCTAACATCTTAGTTTGGTGGTAATGCTACCCTATTGTATGCAGAGAGAAATACATGTACAATAGACCTTAAGCTGCTCCCTACTCCTTCACGTAGGTGTTTTTAATTTATTTAGTCTTGTATTTTAGATACTGGTGATTCCTTGTTTTCCAGCAGGCCTCTTATGGCTATCTGTGATACTTTCAGGTAAGAACTTATTTTTGACATCGCATTTTGGTGTAGTTGTGCATCTTCTCATTGGCAGGTGCGGTTTATTTCTTTGTGCAATCGCAAAGTAGTTTTGTCGTATTACTTAGAGTCGAAAGCGCTCTCAGTAGATGCAAACGACAGGTAGGTTCACTTAATTCGATGTATCATCTATTAGATTTGTTGTAGTAACACGAACTGATTCAATAACAGTATTCTCAGCACTAACTCTTACAGAACTCTATACGATAGCATGTAGGTTATTTTTTCTAACAAACATTTTTAAGATGTAAAATCAACACTTTGGCCAGATCTCTTGCCGAAAAGTGTGCCTTCTTCGCTGGGGGTTCGTTGGTTGGCCTTCGCTGATTCTAAGGTTGGTTCACCTTTTTAACATATATTTACCTGGTGAGACTATAGTTAATGGACGACCTTTGAGCGACGCTAGACTGACATTTAGAGTGTCTACTTAATAACTAGGACTAGATGAGAGATATAAACCTATGCGAGGAATTATAGTTCTAATTTACAGTTGATGATTAAGATTGGGAATTAGATTTCGGGTTTTCATCACGAACTGACGTCAGCTATAATGCCAAAACCCTATTTATCCAAGTGGATGAGTGAATTTCGCTCCAAAATCCACGACCTGCTATCTTGTATGTGATTGGTCCGTCCATAAATTATAGCCTCGCCACTTTTTGGCCGAAGATAAAATGCTTCGGTGAGTGATTGTTTGATTCCTTGTCTATTCACTCATGGCAAAATATACACTGGAGCGGTAGTTTTGTAGTTCAATTGTCCGACTTTCAACTATTAAGTCAACCTCCGCTCCTCGTACTTCGGTTTGGCCAACCGAGTAACATCATTAGTTCCCACACAGCTTGACTTGTTCTTAAGTATTTAGTAAATGAGCTAGTTATTATTATTATTATTATTTAGATATTTAATATAAGCATAAGCATCCAGACACAATCCACTGAAGTCCATCGGTCGGAGTTGCTACACGGCATATGAAATCAGTTTAATTCTAAATAGGCTAGGGGAAGTTGAGGAATAGATATGGAATGAGTTAGTATTATCTCTTGCTGACTAGCGTTAGGCTATGTAGTAGTATAGATAGCCTGACAACCGACTTTCCGCATCTTATAATCTTAAACGTTAGACTTGTAGCTTCTGATGTGATACAAAGCTGAAGTAATCATTTTAATCAGTGTAAAAGTTGTCTTGATTCACTTAGCGTACTCTGTTCAGGCTGTTCAGCCTCTATCTTATTGTCATTTAATACTTACACGAATATATATGAAAGTCGCAACTCTCGTATTTTTATAGGTTGTAGGTGCTCTTCGTTTGAAAATCGCCTAATATTCAGTAACAGACAAAATAACTAATAACTATATATTACATATCACTATCGCAGTTAGCATCATGGTTATCATTCTTGTTCCTATATGTGGAGCTCACAGCTACTGATATGTGTACCATCACTAATTATTATTGAGGTGGGAACAATTATTTTGAATACTGAAAACCTGATTAATTTGTACTTTCGTTAGAAAGTACATAAATAAAACCTTGTTTTAAGTAATATTTACGGCGTAACTTATGAAGTATTGTTTTGATTATTCATTATGCAGACCCAAATCACGCACTTAAGACTTGTTGCGTGGCCTCTATATGTACATGTGTGTTTTGATTCTAAGCCATACATACTGTCTCAAGTTCATGCCATTATTTACTCATTTAAACAGAAACAGGTAAAGGGTTGTCTCCTTATTAACCCATGAATTACTTTTGAACAACTTATTATGTATAACTGTTGGTTGTTGATAATAATTGTGATAAAAGCGTTTCAAACGACTACGATTAAATGACTGGTTAAAAGAACATTTAGCGGCAGAGTAATAATCAGGAATACAAATAGTGTAACTGTCACAAAATTTAGTGATCAAACAGGCTATAAAGTAGACCCATTGACGAACTGTTTATTTAGTAAATCATGGGATAGGATGGTTATGCAATGCTTGTTCGTTAACAGAAAACAGGTGTCTAATAAAAATCTAAGCACTGGACTTAACAGGGAGATACTTGTCAACATGACCATTATTGTCAAAAACTCCAGTCCATTAAGAAATAAGGGTGTTTTCTATTCGTTGGTCACAACTGTAGCATTATATAAAGCGTAATTGCAGTGGAAAATAATTAATTAACCTCATTTAGACTTAAAGATTTACTGCAAGGAATTCCGAGTATTATGACGCTACAAAACACCAAACCGAAGCGTTACCATAGGCTAATTTCAAGGTTAAGTATGACACTTGTTAAAGAATCAACTGCATCATCTGGAACACTAGAGGCACTTACAGAATTTGTGTTTTAAGTATGTATTCAATCCAAAGTTAGACTTTTGAGCACCTCTTTCTCTTTCTCACTCTTTAATTGGAGTATAAAGTCGTGGAATATAACTTGTCAAAATTACTCAGCTTACCTTCAGTAAATACATAAAGAACACTCCGTTTCTCGATAAATATTTAAAACTCACGCCTTACAAACTTTCAGTAATTTTTTGTTACGCATTGATTTTCAGCCTGTCTACCAACATTTGTCCCGATGTGGCGACGCGAGTACAGATGAGTCACAACCTTTAACCACAACAGTATTGAGTATGAATAAGGTAAGGGAACTTCTTTAATTTGATCATAATCCGTTTGTCTAAATATTTCTTACTTTTGGATTTTTCAAATATCTTATCACCATATTCAAAGTTTGAAGGACTGGTAAACTCATCAGAAGAAATAAATCGACGATACATGCAGTGTTTAATCTATGTTAAGGGAGTGAATGAATCACTGTGGTTAATATTAAACCAATTGGCTTTCTTTTATCTCAGTTGATTCAGTAGTAATATATGAAATAGACTATGGTTAGCTTTGAACAGGAGTTATATTAAGACCCTTTTAAATTAATCATCGGTATCAAGTTATTTGAAAAGTGCTCTTGAAATGCCGTAGCACTATAATACTAACGTGCTTTTTGCATGTGGAGAAAAATTATTTCTAACTCTGTGGTTGTTGTTTAAAATAATACATTCATATGACCAAGATATTTTGGTGATTCATCAAAAATGCTACTGAAATAAAACTGTTAAGTGCGAAGGCTAAGCTACAAATGTCTCTGCAATGTTCCGACTTTGTTTCCATTTTAATATGTTATTTCCTATCACACTATTGGCTAAACAGGTGGAAAATTATCTAAAATGTATATATTTTTACAAAACCATTTCGTATCAAACTCATTGTTTTCAATTTTGTCTATGGTAATGTGACTGAAAGTCAAGTACATAGACCCGTACTTTTAATCAGTAGACGACGTCGTGAAAGCAAAATATGAGCAGTTTAGAAGTACTGTTATATACTGCTGATTACTTTATCTGTTTAGCTTGTGTTATCCCCCTTTCAAATCACATGATGACTGAACGAAGTTCTTTATGCAAATATCACAATTTTATTATCAACAATGCTGGGTGTTACATGAAAATTGAATCTTATTGGATGTTCATTTTATCCCACTTGAAACTGTTTAGATGATCGCTGAATTATTGTAAGGTTTATTCTCTCAGGTTTATGTATTTTGTTATGATTATTATTTAAGAAATATTAATGTTTTGGAAATCGATCAAACTTTGTACGTAAAAAATGTCTTATTGTAAATTAGACACCGTACACACTCAACATACATCACAAATACTAGATGGTACGAATTACATAAAAAAATATCATTGTTTTAGACAGTAATGGCATCAAATAAACAAACTGTGTAAGCATCTCATCAAATAATTCTTGTGTTAAAATTAGATTAATCGTTTGTGTTCGTTAGATATTTAAAAAAAACAAAGTAATTTATGCTGTTTGTTGATATCACATATAGTTTTATCGATGAATCTGTTCTATTGAGATAGGTTCATTTCAATTCTTTCACAAATAAGTGTATCAATTTTTTTAAAAAATTAATTCTCAATTGCACTCTAAAAATTACAAAAGTAAAGAAAGCATTTATTTGATGTCAAACTCATTGTTGAGTTGGGTATGACACAAAATAATACAAGCCGATCGACTTATTGAGGCGAATTTAGGTATGCATTAGAAAATGATTTTTTAAGACATATATCTTTTTATTTTGTCTAGTATCAATAGCGTTAACCTTCGTAATCTAACATTTGAATATGTTTAGAGCAAAAATATATCTGATAATTGTCTGTTATAGTGTGATAAAGCTAATAACGTTCTTTTAAAATACCAGCCAATTATAATGCGTGTTTTACGATTAAAGTTGTTGGTATTATAGTAGTTTCACATGTAATTAGCATTATTCCCAAGCTTTATATTATTGTTCTTATGTTTCTTGTAATCTGTTAGGTTCAGCTGTTGCCAGTTTTATATAGTGACCAGAGGTAATGGGTAACTCTAACTAGTTCTAACATTGTGATTGTTCAAACTGTAGTAGATTCTTTTAGATGTATAAGATTGTGTCGTAATCGGCCCGTGTGGAAATTGTATGATAGCGACTGTTTTGCATTTTTCTTGTTTGTTTTTATTTCAACATTGATTAATTTTTGGATGTGTATGATACCTTACATATTCTTATAGCGTCTTTGGGAAGGGATTTCGGCCCTGGCTACTTCAGTTGTTTCTGGTTCATTGGGTCCGAATCCACCAAATTTGCGTAATAATCATCTTGATTCTCAACATCAAGTCCCACAAACAACTTTATCAGATTCGTTTCCACAACATGGATCTAGTCTAATTACTTCAGAGGTGAATAACTCATCCATATCACCCGGTTACGTAACAATAATTGATTTGCATACATTAAATTGTGAACATGCGACTTTGCGAAAACTTGAAGATTCTACGTCATCAGTTCGTTTATGTTCTGCTGGTTCAAATCTCTCTGACTCATCAAATCAATATAATAGTACTAATCAAAGAGCTCAGTCATGCTCTCCAAATAATCAACACACAAGTATTAAAATGTCAGGAGTGAAATACTTGAATGTTCATGAATTTGGTGGGTCGGGAGCCATTGTTGCTCATTTCATGGTATGTATTTTTGTAAACATGTTTTTGCACATGTCTCAATTGATTATATAACTTAATTTCGCCAGTTTATATCAAAAATATTAGTATGAAGATTCCTGGTTATAAAACTACCACTATGAGAATCAGAGCAAGAAGCTTGTTTAGGTGATATACTGGTTGAATACCTTATCAATAATTATTATACATCTAAACTAACAGTCGTTTTTTATCCATAATTGCAACTGCGTGATAATTTCTATCAATACAAATTAGTGTAATCATCTACTAGACCACTATTTGGCAACAGGTCACAGAAGTGTTTTTCTAGATTAAGATAATATCATTACTGAGGAACTGGAAGCTTAATTAATATGTAGACCTCCTAGTTGCAACAGTGCCATTATTACACGTTTCTTATATTTGTATTCATCATCAAGCCATATATCTTTCACAGAACCTAATATTTTGATTGAAAGTCTCACTGACTCCTTTCAGTGACACATAGGTTTAGGGGTCACGATCTATTTTTTTATTTATACTACCCGAAATTTATTTACCGTGATTTCATCATTTAAATCCAATACTTATGAAGAATTCAGTTTACGTGTGGCTATTTCTTGAAAATAACACTATTGATATTTAAAAAAATTCCATAATAAAAACATCAACACTATGATCGCCATTCATTTACACTTCTAGTTAATAGTAGAAACGGAACAATGGCTTGCTGATTGTATCATTTCACTTTTAACTAGTCGCAGGTTCGAAGCCCGCTCCACCTTTGGTTTACATGACTAGGTAGTATTGTGGTATGCGCTACATATGTTTGTAAATATAAATAGTGTGTATCACCAGTCAGAATTGGAATGTCTACTAGCAGGAAGTTAAGAAGGTTGAGATGAAAAGAAGGGTGAAAGCAATAAATATAACAACGGGAATATAGGAACAATGAAGCTCATCAAAGACAATTCAAAGGTGATGTGCAAATGATGTATTTGATGTGTGATTTTCACATTTTACTGAATCACTCTGTAGTTTTGCACTAAGCAATAAATTGGTCTTCCCCACCTGAGTGTTCGTTCACTACAGTATTACTAGCTTTTACGCAAAAAACGTGACTCAAATCCAAGTACACGAATTGATTACTCGGAAGATGATTTTAGTAGGACGGCAACATATTCAGGCTCAAAGTAGTTTTACAGAAAATAAAATTCCATGGAATTAACATATTAGTTTTAGTTATTGAACAAAATGAACATTCATTGCTTGTCGTTTTAATCATGAAAATGATCTTCATAAAGTATGTTTAAGGTATATGATCTTATCGTATGTTCGTTACCATGACAACTACTCCAAGATTCTGAAATTTGTTCACTCTAATATTCCAACACTTTGGCAGTGCTGAAACATTTCATATTCTGGGCTTATAATTCTGTATAAATCACGGCCCAATCATTGTTTATTATTTCTCATGAGACGTTTATCAAGTAAATCTCACATTTGTGATTGTAGGTTATTGTATTCTTTAGGATATATGTTTTAAGTATTCTTTCACGGAATTCCCAGAATTTTTTGCAATGCGTTCATTCCTGAAGTAAGTGTAAGACTATAGATATGTTGTTATTCGCTTTCTTCTGGACTAATATGTTTCACTAAAAAAGCGCCCATTATTACCCTCAGCTTGTGTTTCCTGTCTGGAAGGACCTTAGCATCATTATTTCCTTTCCCCTTTTAGTACTCTATTTTATGATGGTGTTGAAGGACATTTTTGTATTGTATAAAGTAGTCATGAGTTATGTGCTTGTCATTCGTTCTACCGGTCTGCGTGTGGAATTATATATTTCCCTGGCTGAATCTGGTTTTCTTTCTCTAGTTAGTGGGGGTGGAGCGCAGAGAAATAGCTTAGCTCCGTCCTGTCATTGGGTCGCTGGTTTTTATCCCGTTCGCCTGTCCAAATTGATATCATAATATCACGAACATAGCAGTAGGTTTGGGACTGAATTCTCCTGTGACCACCAGCCTCTGTGAGAATTCATCTTCTGTTTTTAATATTATTAAAAAATAATAACTTCTTTATTCAGTACTGTGTGTTTTGTTTACTAGGGATTTTTATAATGGGTTGGATCTTAAACCCCACAATCTTGCTTATACACTTTTCAAGGTAAAAGTAATTATTTTATCAGGATGATTTCACTCCTAGTTTGATTGGGGTGAGATAATAGAACTTTGTCGACATGCTTATTTATTCGCATACCTGTCCACCAAATAAAAGCGGATGGTTGATAAAATACAAAATCTTAGGGATTATTAATCGGTCTACGTGCTAGTATGACATTGGCAACTTTACTAGACGATTATTTATTTATTTACCTACTTAAACACACAAACATTGGTACAAGGAGGCACCAAATATATATATACCACATAAATCATTCCATTTGTGTGAGGAATTGGATGCATCTCGGGCGCCCAAACCAAGACAGGTGGTTTTGTTAGGGGGCCACTCCCCAATCCTTTGACCTAGAGTTCTAATCTACAAGGCAGTGGAGCAACGTTAGAAGATGCAGTCTCATGGTAACTGGTGACCAACAATAAGTTCCTATGTCTATTGTTCCCTCAGGATTCTGGAGACCCTGTGCACCACTTGTTTGAAATCGGGGTTTTCCAACTCCCCTAGTTGGATCCTCCATATCCACCAACCCGGTTAAAGTACCGGACATTCCTCTCAATTTCGTAAACAACAGTAGTGCCACGAGAATGCAGTGAGTAGGACTTACCTGTCAGTGGCTGTTTAAGCGTGACTATGTGGGAGCATTTCGAGAGGGACAGCTGCCTCTCTCCACTCTCGAGTGTACCAGAGCATTCGAGGGCCAGACTATCATTTTACTTGCACAGACAGATATATCTTATGTGTTTCGTAGTTTCGAAGCATTGTGCTATAATAGTCAAGTTGCTATGAATTCTTTTTCAGTTGTAAAGACTGCGAGTTGACTTTGGTTTGTGGAGCTGAATAGTATTACTATCTGTCAGATTATACAAATGTAGTTTAAAGCCAAGTGCACGAATCTGTACCGTGCTAGTGATTTATATTAATGGATTTTCATATGAGGAAGCTGTTACTTTATTTCATTGTTAAATGTTTTGACAATACCCAAATTTTCACCGATATGGATTTCGATAAACTCCCTGTATCGCCAGTTGCTGATATTTTTTTAAAACCTTATTGCTATTTTTAACAAATGTAGTTGCACATTTCTGAAGGTTTTGAAAATTTCGTTTCGTTTCACTGACACAAACTTCCTTGTTTTAAGCCCCTAACCACTTGTATTCTTGAGGGGATTGATTCTCCCTATAGGATTAGAACCTTCCTGATAGAGTTAAATCAGCAATAGCTCCCAAATGCCCTGGTACGGCCGAGAGTGGGGAGAGTCCGCTCTCCCTCTTGAAATGCTCTCACATGGCCACACGTATATAGCCTTTGCCAGGGAAGTCTTACTGCCTTCTCGCACCACGGGTGTTGTTTACGAAAATGAGAGGACGACAAGCGAATGTCCGGCACTTTAACCGGGCCGATGGACACGGTGATTCCACCTAGGGAGTTGGAAAGCCGTGATTCCAAACCAATGGTGCACATGGGCTCCATTATTTTGAAGGAATAAGTGGAGTATGAACCATTTATTGATCACCGGCTTCTATGGGACTGCATCTCCTTAGAATGCTTCACTGCCTTGTGGATCAAACCTTCAGGTCGAAGGCTCCGGGTGTGGCCCCTTAAGAAAACCACATGGTTCGGTTTGGGCACCCGGGCAGTATCACAGCCCTCGCACATATCAAATAAGATTGTGTGGCGCATATGTATTTGGTGCCTCCTTGTACCATTATCTGTGTTAAAATAAATATATAATAAACTACACTTACTTAACATTTGTTATTACTCAGTGATCGCTCAATGTAAATGTTCTTCTTCTTCTTCTCTAATTTCTAAAACATTTTTTGTCCCGAACTACTTTTTATTTCAGGCTCATCGTTGGGCTGGTGTTGCTCTCTTAAAGTTTGATCCATCTGGAAGTCTGTTGTTCACTGCGTGTAAACGGGGTCACTCATTCAATTTATTTCGTATTGCTAATCATCCGTTTGACCAGCGTCAAACTGCTGTACATCACTTATACATTTTGGAACGTGGTAATTTACCGTGTGAGGTAATTTGTTTCCATTGTTATTATATCCTTGTAAATTTTTATCACGATTTGGGTTTTTAGGATGTCCTAAATACCGAGTATAAACTATACCCTCCTTATTTTACTAATAAAATTATTTCAGAAACCAACTCTATTGGTTCACACAACATTTTGAAATACGAACCACGAAGTCATAATACATACTCGCTTTTGGTGTTTTTTTATTATTTAAAGACAAGCTTAGGTTTTGTCCCACTCACAATTGAGTGACCTCAAACTTATACTCAATTCAGGCGATCCAAGATCGAAGATTATTAGAAAATTGGCTCCATTTTTCTAATTTTTACACATAAAATAATGTAACCACAAGTAGTTAGTTTTGGGGAAACAGCAGGTCGTCAAATAGTTTGGGCGTAATTTAGGCGAAACATTTTTTGCATTTAAAATGATAGGTAAAAAATCAATACTAATGAAGTCCGAAATGGATATCATTTCAAGGTAGAATTTAATTGGCTGGATGGTATATTTCGAAAACGTTCTCTAACGTTGTCTAACTTAGATCGGTTCATGATTTCAGTGAAATTTTAAAAATTGTTGTACTCACTTCAAAGCAAGAAATATTATCAACCGCTATTTCTATTTGTTGTCGTTATCCAGGACGATAGTGAAAGCTCCTCAATGTGTTCGTCTTACTCGGATAACTACATTACTTAAAACAATCGTCTGAGCCGGAAATATTCTCAATTATTTTATTTTTTCTAACTGTACGTTAATATTTGATGGATAAATAATGATTTAAGTAAGCTGTTTCCTTGTATATAAGAAAAGATAAATACGGCCATCTAGTGCTTATGTATCCATCAGTATTGGTATGTAGTGAATTTGTCAATTCTAGTTAACTGATCTTAAGAGTTATAAACGTGTTTTATTCATTTTCATACTGCAGATAAGTTTGTTTTTAGAAACTACCGTATAGTCTGCTTTCACCATAATGAAGTGTTTTATTTTTCTACTGCATTATTAATGCCTTAGTTGAAAAAAAACAGGTATATTTTTTCTATGAACTATCCTAGTGTTGTCTTAGTGAAGATTAAATTATAGGTAATTTCCGAGACCTATTAATGGACTAATATTATGTATATATTCTTATTGTATGACTATTCAGTAACTAGATTATGTATATCTATATGTTACTCTTACTATAAGCTTCATTTTGACCTATAGATTATTATTGTACGGTTTACCGTTCTTAAATTACGTTCAATTTAATGATTACAGTTTCCCACGTTCATAGCCACTTTTTTGGCTTGATCTTGTATAACTGCTATTTCCTATTTTATGGTGTGATATGGTCTGTTTGGTTGGTATATAAACCAAGTATGTTTGAAATAAATGACTGTCACAGTGGAAACTGGTATTGGTGTTCTGGACTGAATTGTAAGGGCCAGGAGGAAAAAGGACCAATAAGGACTCTAGGCTGCTCATACCTATCGAACGTCATTGTTTTGGCACAGTACCAAGATTGAATAAGTCGTATTTCATTTGGCGAATAAATCATGTGATTAGCTGGGCTTAAAGTCATAACATCTAAAGTTACTATTTTTGATAAATATGATCGCAATCGTTCCCATAATTTTCATGGAATTTACTAAAAAAGGCCAGTAAATTTACAATTTGATGTTCAATATACCATTAAAATCGATATGGTATTGAATAGGTTTCGTCAAGAAAGGCAGCAGAATTTGTTTACATATTTATGTCTAAATCACGATGATAATAATAATATTAATTATTATCATTATTACTGTCAGTTGTTATTATTGTGATGCTATCATTCTTAATAAGTATGATTTGTTACTGTACATCACGATATTCTGTTTATTTTACGTCTCTGTTGTATTTGGTCACAAAAACACATTGTATTCACGTGTCGTTGTTACAACATAAGTATAATTCTAATAAGTTATCACATGCAATTTGTCATTGGAAAACTTCTTTTTATTTCAATTTTGTTTCTCAATCCTCCTTGTTTATTCGAACCTGTTGTCTACCTCATTCATAAGTATCTGTTCACATGATTCAGTAAGTGTTAGTGTAGTGGACACTACTCACGAGATTGCTTTTAGGTAGTATATGGAGGGATGTGGCCTTGAAGTCGTCGCTCATCAAACGGAATGAAGAGTTTCAGTACATCGAAAGCACGGCTTTGGCAGAGCACTTGATGACCAAACAAGAAGACAATTTGGGTTGCAGACCATTCCGTGAGATACAAATTAATTGTTGTTCATACACATATACATTCTTGTTTTACATCCTGGCAGCTACACCAAATGTACATCAAGACAATGGGTAGAACTCTTATTTATTAGGAGAAATTACAAAGCGTTTGCGTAATACGTATACATAGCTTTCGAACATCCATTTGCATCTCGCACTGTGTTCTGCGATCCAAATTGTCTTCTTGTTTGGTCATCAAGTGCTCTGCCAAAGCCCTGCTTTCGATATACTGAAACTCTCCATTCCGTCTGACGACTGTGATGACTTCGAGGCTACGTCCCGCTATATACTACCTACAAGCAAAATTGTTAGTAGCGTCCGCTACAACGGGATGAACCAACTATATTCTTATCACCTTGGGGAATCGGAAAATATGGTGTTTGATTCCGTATTTCTTATCATCCACAAAATTCACTAAAATCAATCTACATTCATAAGTACTTGACGTTGAGGTTTTTGAAATCCAAATTTCAGACTAGGATTCTGCTTGGAAATTGTTTTGTTAGATCTATTTCTTTGCTATGGTATATACCTTATCATTCTTTCCTCTACTGACGTATTTCATTCGGTTTGATGTTTTTAGTGAATTTCTCAGGTCCAATTTAGTTCGCATTATACCGGCAACCATTAATTACGCCTTACTGATCTGGTTTCAGTCTTGTGAAAAGTATTTTCAAATGCAAATAAATCTCCACTGCTACCAAACGGAATCATGAGTATGTTAATAATGATGGAGAAAGGAATAAGCTCGATAGTTAGACGTTAATATCTTTGATAATGCAGTGAGAAAACGAAGTTTATCAGAATTATGTGGTATATGTACGCAATACATTTCGAACAATCTGATCATATCTTTAAAGAGCTATTAGCTTTTAGTTGCCATATCCTTCTACCACCTATTTATTTAATAATTTCTGATCATGCTTGTTTCTATATTCAATATTTTGTATATATTCTTATTCTGTTTGGAGAAAAATACTTCTACTGGACAGTTATCTTCCAATATATGCCCCGTAAGCAGCAGTCCATTTACCGATTGACATTCTGTTGATTCATTTTGTCACTTCAAAACTCATTCGCTTGTCAAATTCCTAATGATAAGACAAGTGTCCTTAAAGTCCTAACGAGAGGCTACTTTTACAATACATAAACTATTACATTTTAGCTTAGAATAGTGTTATACTTGCCATGAAAATTTAAACAATATAAATCCAGTCTTATATATGTTTTTGGAATTATGTCACTTTTGACAATATACAGGTACTTACTAAGGGAAATGCTGATCTGTAATGATACTCAGTAACACAATGTTCAAATAATAACTAACTGGCCATAAAAGTCATTGAGTGAATATAGATCACAAGAGAAGACAAATCTCCATCAAAATGTGTTTTTCCTTAATAAAATAATATGCATAAACGCCAAATATTAAGTAGAAAAGTAAACATAATTGGACATTTAATAAGTAAACAATCAGAAGATATAGGTTTCTTAGCTCTTCCATACACATAAAATTAGGGCCTGGCTATCTGGCTTAGTGTTTTTGTGAATAAAATCTGTTTACTCATGTAAGATTGTGTTAGCGTTGTATGTTACCATGTTAGAGCACTTCACCACTGAATTATTTATTCTATGGCCTAATAGGTGTATTCAAATATTGTGTGTTCGTACGACTTTTATTTGTTGTTTACTGTCTTATGTGTTTTAATCGGTTCATTTCTCACCACTATGAATTGGTGTTTACAATATCAGTTGTCTCATTATTTTTTGATTGTGTATAGCCTAGCTGGTTAAATAAGCGGTCAAATAATCTGCAACTTTAATCACGTCTTTGTATGAAATAGTATAACTATATGACTGTATACAAGCTTACTTCCTGTTTGTGACTGTTGCGTAATGGGAGTAAATCTATTAAATGAATACATAAATAAGGTTTTTATATTCAGATCCTATTATTATTTATTGTGTAAGAGTAGATGGTACTACCTGGTCACGTTAAATAAATGAAGATGGGACGAGGCTCGAACTTGTAACCAAATGGGTAAAAGTTGAATGATTAGAGTCCACTAATCTGCTGCTTAAAATCATACATTGAAAACAATGATGCTACCCAATTGTGGACGAATCTTATAACAGTGATCACAATTTACATGAAATTGATTTTGTAGTTTGTGTCACAATGTGAATGATTCAGATTCAGTGATGCAAATACAAGATTATAGTGACCAAAAAAACTCCATGATTTCAGACATTCGCACTAATTGGTAACTTTGCAGTCACCAGTGTCATGCTGTTCAGTCCTTAGACCTGATTGATCGAATTCAGTGGATCAAAGTACATTGTATTAGTTAGTAGACTGTATGATTCAAAATCACTTTGTTGGAAGGGATAATCAGAAATAATAGATATTTTGTACTATTCAATACCTGTCAGCAAAGAGTATCTACAATTCATAGCTAAACTGATTTATGTAATTTTTACAAAAAAAGAATTTCTGTAAGTTCATTGCGTGTTGTCAGCCTGCTTGTATTTAATTTTAAGTGGTAAAGTTATTTTGTGAAAGCATTGGTATAAATGTCAACATGTAATTTAGTTCGCTTTTTAAATTCTAAATGATGTGTATGTATAACAATATAGAGAGGGAAAAGAACCTAAGGTATGATCGATACGATTTTAAGCATGACAGTTAGATATTACGATCAGTTTGCATGGTTGAAATTTCTATTTAATTCGCTTTTTATTAC